TAGCCAATTCTACTGTAGGAATCGTTTTTGGATCTTTATTCATAGACGCCCATTTCCCTGAATCTCTTATGAGAATAAACAGGGACAACTCTTCGACGATTCATTTCTCAAACGGATCACCGGTGCCGAGCGAACCGCAGATTGTCTCAAATGCTGCCATCGATATAAAAGCCACCAGTTTACACATAACCGCCGATCCGCGATCTAGCCACACTCTGGTGAGCGCTTGGAATTCGTCAAGTTTTATCCACAGTGTGTTTTCCACCTTGAGGGTCAGAGCGAATCATTCGGTCTTATCCATTTTGTCAGGCTATCCAACTATGCATATATTTACAAACACCATTGTTGTAAAGATATCCTTACGAAACGTGAGCGCTCTTACTCTAAACCAGTCCCAGAAGGATGTCGATGAAGATGCTGATTTTGTTTCCCCTGCTATGACTTCCTCCGAGGTCGCTTTCACAACGATGACAAGCGCCAGTTATCCTGACACCTCTGAAACCGTGCTTACCGATGATCCGGTGATCGATATCCAGACTACTTTTCCAACTGCATCTACTGAACTGACGAGGACGAGTGCGACTCCGGAGACCATGATGTCCAGTGCAACTTCATCCAATGACACATTAAGCATTACAACGATTGATCCCGTTTTTGTTCAGATCGATTCTGTAATCGTTTCTATACAGGTATGATGCTGGTGATTTGCGTTCGTGTCCTAAGACTGTGTCTGTGGCGTTTTACAGACCCCCAGTATTCCTAAAACTACCAGTCGTGAAGAAGAAATCAGCAATCGAAACGAATCGACGTTTCTCATCACGCAGTACTCCGTGAAATCGAACGACCTGGACAACATGAACAGTTTAAATGTGGACCCGACGCCACCGGCGCTTCCAACGTTCTTCTTCCTGAACGTATCTGAGATGTTGCTGAACGGAACCACTACACTTACGCCACTGAATTCTACAGTTCAAGGCCTTTCCGAGGCCGATAAAGAAAGACCACTTTTTTGGACGAATCGCGAGAGGTCGTTGAACAGCTCGGGCTTCGACTTTGATCAGGCATCTCTGTTGTCCCTGGTTGTAGGAGAAACGTCCAAGTCGAATGTCACCCGGGAGGAAATTGAGAAAACGTCGAGTACCGGTCTACGCAAAGCTTATCTTGAGGGTCTGAACCGAAAAAGGAGATCTACCGGCTGGCTGCCTAAACTGAAGTCCAAAAATGTCATTAAATCGTTCAATGAGTTGTTAGCTTTCCCTGAACCGGAACTAGAAACAGAGGTATGCTTTGAAAGTCTACTTTTCAAATTTCAATTAACCGAGTTTTACAGGTTCGCAACGTCGAAGAAACGAATGCAAGCCAGTGGAGGATAGTGTTCGTCGTTAAACGAAACCACGAGCTGTTGCATGCTGCTGCCGCTAAAGCAGCTTTCGATGAGCTGTCGACAGACGAAATTAGTGGCTTCCTCACTTTACCGGTAAGCTTTGTGGCAATGTAGTCGCCTGAGACGGTGCCGGATTCTAATACGTATAAGCTAAGTTGCAATCTTTGTCATAACGACGAATTCCAATGAGCAAGCAATTTCCCTACATATTACTTCGGTGCTACCAGTCAAGAAACGGGTAGAAAGTGTTTGGTCAACGAACAGCAAGGGCAGCATGGTGTTGCGGTGTAGTCGTAACAGAATGGCTGAGAGGTAACGCCATGCTGTCCAAGAAGAGCTCTTTTTTTAACGGCAATTTTCCTTGACCCATCTGACAGCCGACGATTCAAAGTGATTAGCAATATTAGCAGCAAGTATTACCCCCAGAAAATCAAGTAATGCTGTGAGAGCTTTCAATAAGTCATTTTGACATAATTGACGAAAGCGGGCGATGGCCAACGTGCGAGATCGCAGGGCGAAGCACTGTATAGTGCATGCTGCTGAATCGCTGTGATAGCAGTAAGGGCTGTTGTCCCCCAAACCTTCTTATGACGAGACTCATCAAACTCGTACGTCTTTAAGTTGCAGTTGGCTAAGAGAATACACTCTGATACTTGTTGCCCAGTACAGCGTCCGTACTGATGGACAAAAAAAGCAAATGAAAATTTTTCTTCGTACGGCCAACCCATTGAAATGAGTATATCTACTCATTGAAGGGTGAAAGATCCGGTGGAATTATCCTTTATGGATGTGTATACTATGTGTTCTTCAGGCGCAGGTTAACCGCAATAAATGGTTAAGAATTGCAAAGTTGGTTCCACCGAGCCATAAACATTCAGTCTGTCGTCCAAGAATACGCCGAGACGATCTGATGGTTAATTAACTTAGTCTGCGATGGATACAGAAAACGGAGATAGGAGAACACTGGAAGTGAGCGTTGAATTGCTTTCATTGGAAGATGGATTAAATAACCTCTTTCGCGAATTAAATTACCAGCGTCTGCAAGATACGATGGTGCTTTTCGAATTTGTAAATCATGCTATTACCCGTTTCAAAGAAAGACGACTTCTTTGTCATTGTCCCCTTGAGGTAAAGGAAGTGAGTTATTGGGGAGTGTGACTTTCCCTCCATCTCTCTGAGCTTGTATTCAGAATATTCCTCATTCTGATATTCTTTTCCTTTACGCATTTGTTCAGTGGACATACTGAAAATTATCATGCCCCTTACCATTGTTCCGTTAACATACCATTGCAAACCGGGGATACGTACATTTTGTTGTGCTTTATTTTCTTCTTCATTTAGGGCTAATCTAAGTTTCAACAGTAGTAATTATTAAGTTAAATAATTAAAAACTTTCTTCGCACAGGAAACGGATCTTCACTGCTTCAGTTTTAAACACAAAATCAAGTACGCTTATTTGCCTAGGTAGTGGAGCCCGTCAACACGGTGAAAGACTCAAGGCACCGGACTGTGGCTGAACAACGTTTGCACAGCGGTGCGACCAGTTCGCATCTGATCGAAATGAACATCGGGGTTGCAATGCTTTTAATCGCGGCGCTGGTGGTTCTGCACTGGCGGAGCAGGCGGAGAAGAGCAAGTACGAGGAAGGCAAGTAGGCGGCAACGGCTGTCCGTCTGATGTGAACTCAGTTATGCTGTTTTAGAGTTACACTAGTTCCGTGGAAACCGTCGCTCATGTCAACAACTCCGCCGTAGGTATGAAGCTGCCGTCTGACAGGTAAGCGCAATGTTTTTGCTTACGTCGTTTTTCTATTCATCTCATTCAAATAGTTTCATTTATTCCGATGTTACACTATCGTTATCGGTTGAACGACGACCTTGCAAAGACCTCGCCATAAACTTTTGTTTTCTGTGGCTTGATACATCGTGATACAGTGAACCTATTCAGTTTTTCCCGCTATCGATCTGGAAGTCTTCCACCGGACCGTTGGCCGTCTCCAGGAATTCAGCTTAGTGTCTCTCTGGTCTGACGATGATCTATCGTTCTTGCAACGGACCCTGTCCAGAGCCACTTTAAACTTTTCACTCTTATAGTGATACCATAGACTGGTGTTTGTGCTCTTACCTATTTATTGGCCTTCCTATCGTTTTTGTGCTATTTCAAACAGGCATCGTTCCGTGCCTCGTCGCGTAGTGTGCAATTTGTGAATAGCTTTCAGACTATTAATGTTTCCTATCCATAAATTGGCACTGGGAAAACGTTCCAGTTTCAAAACAGACAATAAACAAATTGTTATGCACATCCGAGTTCTATAAACATCAGAAATATGAATGAAGTATGTTAATATTCAAAACCCTCTTCCAAAACCATATTTCACAACGTTTCGCATCATTCCCATGCCGTTGCTTAAGCGACATTTAAAATAGCACGGAACTCTAGCTTTCTTAAGTGGGCCCGTAGGCAACAGTACGGTGTGAAATGTAGAATTACATACAAATTTTATGTATATTTTCCCCTCAGGTTTAGACAAAATTATTTTGTCTTGAAGAAATTTACACAGAAATGATGTAGAGACGTATAAAAATTTTCTTCATCGATATTTTACAACGCTGGACCTTCGATTGTACAGAAAAGGACATTAAGCTACAGTGAATCGTACTATCTCATGTCTACTGTGCAAGATCGATAATAGTTTAGTTAAAAATTTACACCATGATAGCACGACTGTTGACCATAAAGTTCAACACCTGTTTTCAGTTGTACGTATTTAACACATTAGCTACGTGTTGCTCCCGCCTACTTGTAGTTTGATTTATGTGATTTCTTACAGAATGTATATCAGTACTCCTTTCAATTACTAATGGCAGAAAAGCACTGCGCCTTGCTTCTAGTCTTCTAGGGGCACATAAAGTAATACATGGTGTAGGCATCATTTGGCTCACACGAAGTGGTTCTTTGCCACCCAACGATGCATCTAATGCACCGCAGGCGTATAAATAACCATAAAAGCCTGTTTACCTGGTTCCCCGAAGAGACTGAAGGCAAGGAGAAGGTTTTTTCGCTTGAAAAATTCCTTATCAGTAATCGAAATGTAACATTTACCGCTGAAATTGCAAAACTGCCGTTACTAGCACCAGAAACATATGGTTACGTATTTTATATAGCAATATTATTTGTCGCCTTTACCTCTGCTCAGCTCGCCGTAAACCTATCTCAGTTTCTCTGTCACGGAGAACGGTTCACGGGAGCAACAACCCGCGATGGCAACATAATATTGATTTGCATCACTAGGCCGTACATTC